CCCCCCCCCCCCCCCCCCAATAATACCCTTAGTAACTATCTGATAAAACTGAAGAGTAAGTTTGATCCCTGCAGCCTCCCCTGCTTCTGCTCTGCTGACCGAGCTCTCCCCTTTATTTCTCCTCGTGTATGTAAACACAATAGAATTTGATGCTGCAGACTGAATGTTATAAAGAAATTGAAAAAGTAAATGACAATTTAACAGAGAAATGATTTGTTATTCATTGAAATGAAATATTAGAGAAGGGACAGCTCCAAGGCATTTGAGAGGCCTGGACTATCCCTGCTTTTGCTCAACAGAAAACGTGAATCTCCTTAACCCCCCAGCTCTCACATCTATTGACATTTCCGCCCCCCCCCCCCACCCCCCCACACCAATAATACCCTTAGTAACTATCTGATAAAACTGAAGCGTAAGTTTGATCCCCTGCAGCCTTCCCTGCTTCTGCTCTGCTGACCGAGCTCTCCCCTTTCTTTCTCCTCATGTATGTAAACACAATAGGTGGTCTATCAGAAACAAGGATCCTCGAATTAACTAATTACGGAGAAAGTTCTCTTTCATATTATTGAACTACTATCCTACGACATCTAAAGAAAAGATTAAACATGTGGAAGATTCGAACAAATTCTACTCTAATTTCCAGTCTGGATAGCAGGAAAGCTGAGACATTAATTGCACATTTAAAGAATGAATTGTGTAGCGTGCATGTGATCATACCATTAAATTCTGATAGTCTAAAAGGTACAAACGTGTAATTTAACCAAACAAAAGCAGTAAAATGTCGCATGTCTAATTGTATGAACTCATTAACAACACTCAAAATCCTCATCCGATCTAAATCTCATAATCAATCGAAAATTTTCATTTGCCACTTAAATACGAAGCTGCAATTATCAATTCGTAAAGGATCTAGACCTAACATTCTAATTTCATTTTTTTATAATTCGATTTAACCTCATTTTATCAACTAAAAAAACACCACGGAAGATTAACAGCACGAGATTACGAAAAATACGACAAATTTTCAAAAAAAAAAAGGCACAAGAAAATAAAAACTGCATAATTACCAAAGAAAACAATTGCTAGCACAATGAACGAACCATTCCTCCTCCACGAGCCACCCATGGCTTCACCTCTAAAACTTGAATCTCTCTATATATGTGTGTCTGTGTGTGTATACGTTCTTACAATGTGTATGTATACGTGCGTGTAAACAATGGAGAATCAAAGAATCAATGCGATGGAAGGCGCGTAAGGTTGAAGAAGGGGTTATAAGTTAGTAAAAGGGGATTTACGGTTTATGAGTCTTCAATTACATTATGTAATGTAATTTACATACTAACGGGCCGTGTTCTTACTGGTTACGTGGACCAATCAGAAATTAAAGGTCGTATTTTCCAGCCTAAACTGCAGTTTACTATTAGAATAATACTATTGTGAATTAGTGTTTATCTTTTCTAGTTTCCTTTTCTAATTAAAATATGTTTATCTTTTATTTAAGGGAAAATTGCAGTCCTGATACCAATCTAAACCTTTTATGTAGACCAATCAAAAATGACATGTAGTATCAAATATTTCACTTTTATTTTGACTTAATTCAAACCTTTAATTTGTGATACTCATGATATCAAACCTTTTAAAAACTCGCATTTAGAGTTCAAATTAATCAACATTGTCAAAATCGGCCCGGCTAACCTTTAATTTGTGATACTTATGATACCAAACCTCTCAAAAACTCGCATTTAGAGTTCAAATTAATTAATATTGTCAAAATCGGCCGCCCTGGCCAATGAAATTGCAATTTACTATTAGAATTGTGAATTAGTGTTTATCTTTTCTAGTTTCTTTTTTTAATTGAAATATGTTTATCGTTTATTTAAGGGAAAATTGCAGTCATTATACCAATCCAAACCTTTTATGTAGGCCAATCAGAAATTAAAGGTAGTATCAAATATTTCACTTTTATGTATACTTAATTCAAACCTTTAATTTGTAATCTCATGATACCGAACCTCTCAAAAACTCGCATTTAGAGTTCAAATTAATCAATGATGTCAAAATCGGCCGCCCCGTCCCACCCCCGACCGGTTCAACTAGTAAAATTGGGAATTGGACCCAAAATCGGGTCAATTCATTGGCCCCGATTAAGTGATTATGACAAAATCGCTCAAAACTCATAGAACCGGCCGTGATACCAATCCAAGCCTTTTATGTAGACCAATCAGAAATTAAAGGTAGTATCAAATATTTCATTTTTATGTAAATTTAATCCAAACCTTTAATTTGTGATACTCATGATACCAAACCTCTCAAAAACTCGCATTTAGAGTTCAAATTAATCAATGTTGTCAAAATCAGCCCTGCTAACCTTTAATTTGTGATACTCATGATGCGAAACCTCTCAAAAACTCGCATTTAGAGTTCAAATTAATAAATGTTGTCAAAATCGCCCCCCCCCCCCGACCCGACCGATTCGACTGGTAAAATCTGGAACTGGACCCAAAATTGGGCCAATTCATATCCGGTTAAGTGATTATGACAAAATCACTCAAAACTCACTGAACCGACCGGTTCAACCGTAAACCACGACACGGTCGCGGTTTTGAGCGGTTTTCCCGATTTATTTATTTTTATTTTTAAAAATTTTAATTTCATGAATGTGCTTCATAAATTACAATTCTAAAGCTCATAGAGAATTATTGGATGTGGATGTCATGCTCATTTTATAGATACACTTCTTTCAAATGGTTTTATAAACTTTTAATGTGGGATAATGCCTTTTATAGATACCTTTCTCTTCAATGGTTTCATAAACTTTCAATGTGGGAAAGTGGCATAACAAAAAAAATGTTAAAATGCCCATCAAAATTATTTTCCAAATGTATGTGTAATTGATTAATTTGATTTTGAATCTTAACTAATAAAATTGTAATATTCATCTCCATCCTTTCATTTATTTAATTTTCAAATTTAACTTGAATTATACTTGATTATTAATATATTAATGTTAGATATCATTTTCTATGAGTTTAAACTATTTTAATTTAACAAAGTAAACTATTTTAATTTATTGATTTTTAATTTTTGAAGTATCGAGACTAATTGTAGGATAATGAATCTAATTAACAAAGAATTCTATGAGTTTAAACTATTTTAATTTAACAAAGTAAACTATTTTAACATATTGATTTTTAATTTTTGAAGTATCGAGACTAATAGTAGGATAATGAATCTAATTAACAAATATAGATTTACTTTGAATTATTAATATGGAAATTTAAAAAAAAAACTATTGTTTTCATAGTATTTTATTATTATTGTATGTATTTATTGCATCCTGTTTGATCCCGGTGCGACCTCGATGGAACCTTTTGACCCTTCGATTTTTTCGGGTCAATGACCGAGTCGATTTTCAAAACATTGAAATTACTAAAAATCATTAGTTTATTTGTTAGTTGACCAAAAATCAAAGATATGACCAAATATTGACCAAATTTTAAATGGCAAAAGATAACTTTATATTTTTTATATAAAAAAAACTAAAATAAAAAAATTAAGTCAAAAAAAAAAAAAAATACTATTCATCTTCTCCATTCACCCTCACACCCCATCCACCCCAAAACCAGAAACTACCAAAATACTGCTGCTGCCACCATTACCATCTGCCACCACTACATGTCATGACTATATTAACAAGAACCGAGCTGCAGTGCCACCCTCCCTCCCTGACAAAACACACACATCGGGGGAGGGAAGCATTTTTTTTTCATTTTTATTTCATGCGGGTCCCACGTCGGTCTCTCATTCATGTGAGGTTAGTTCAACCAGGTGGGCAAATCAATTTGGGCAAACTAGTTTAATTCGTATTAACAATCTCCTACCGACAATTCTCACAGTGTCAATTGTCACGCTTTCCAGTCTAGCGCAGGGTACTTCCAAACCGACCCAATACTTGCACCAATACCCTTGCTGGCAAAAGGGATCCTTCTACTTTGATTTCGCCTAAAACCCCATTAACTTTTGTTAATGAAGCTCGCAAAAGCTTGAAAAAGAACAAAAAAAAAAAAATTAGTATGTTTCCAATCCTAATTAAGATTAAATTCGACGGCAAAGAAGGGTGGGTTATGAGCATGATTTCCGTTTCTCTGAATGCTGGGTTGGACTTGCTCATTCTTGCTCACCTCCCTTAAGTTCTTTGCCCATGGAAAAATTTTCACTCTGGGCAAAAAGGCCTATTTCACTTGACTTGCATACCGTAGCCCCTGAAATTGATTTGCTCCCATAGCTAAATTTGTTCCTACTTTCCCAACCACGAGGCGTAGTCTCTCACCTACTGATTTGTTTGATAGTGCTAATTTGATTTTCACCAGCTTATATTTGCATGATAACTTGTGGATAATGCTAGAAAAACATAGCCCTTCATATAAAGGTGTTCCTAATGGACACTTGGCGTCCCCTATTGGAGGGACGCCTGGGGGCAATAGGGACGACAGGTGTCCATTATGAACAACTTATGGACACCTGTATGTTCTTCTAGCATTACCCATAACTTGTTCCTCCCACGTGTCGCCCAACGACTTTTGCACCCTAGGCAACTTATTCTTTGCCTTGAATCTTTCGTAGGTCTTGGTCGACTTATCCATGTTAATGTTAGCTGAGTAGAGGAGGTTGTTGATACAGTCATGGAGGGTGGTTATAGGCAGTGACGATGGGTGATAGTAGTGGTAGTAGGTGGCGGAGTTTTGATGGTTTTTGGTTTAGATTTTTTCATATGAAAAATGTAAAGTTGCCTTTTTGTTCTTTAAAAATTAGTTAACATTTGATCAGATCTTTGATTTTCGGTCAACTAATAGAGAAATTAATGGTTTCTGTTAATTTATACTCCAAATGCGAGTTTTTGATAGATTCGGTACTGTGAGTGTCTCAAATTAAAGGTTTGTTTTAAGTTTGAATAAAGGTGAAATGTTTGGTACCTTGACTACAATTTTCTCTTTATTCGATTAGGACTACAGTCTCAATTTTCTAGTATTAGTACGAGTAGAGGAATAATCTTGTCTATAAATATAGATGTATTGTACACTTTTTCAACAAATCAATTATTATTCAATAATACATAGAGCAAGATTATTTCAATACCGTTCTTATTTATTACATACTTTTTATTACAAGAATTCACAAATGCTTCCGCAATGATTTAGGACAATCCTGTTATAAATATGATAAACGTCAGTCATCTATAATGGGATATCTAAGATTTCTAAATAGATTTTATCATTTTATTCTTATTTCTTATTTAAAATAGGACTTCTATTTTCTTTTAAAGTCAAATTTAGCTTACTTCCTTTTAGAATTTATTTTCATTATATTGATAGAATTATGAAATAATTTTATCCATAAATACAAAAGCATTGTTCACTTTTTAAACACCACAATTATTATTCAATATATGCAAAACAAGTTATTACGAAATCAGGAACTTGACGATCTTTCAAAATACCTATAGGCATGTCTCCTTATCGTTTGATTTTTTGGAAAAGCATGTCATTTACCAGTTGAGTTGGAGCACTGAGCTTATTGCACAGTCAGGAACTTAAACTTTGATTTTAAGTCAGCTAGTGAAAAGAGATTACTTTAGTTGAATGAAATGAATGAGTTTCACTAGAAGCCTATGAGAATGCAAAGCTCTACAAGAAACACACTAAAAAGTGGCATGATATGCACATTCAAATAAGAAAGTGTGAGGTTGGACAACAAGTCTCGTTGTACAATTCTAGACTCAAGCTTTTATCGAGTAAATTGAAGTTCAGGTAGTCAGGGCCATATACGATTTCCAAAGTAAGCAAGTGAACATTTAAATTTAATGGACATCAGACTAAACTTTTATGTTGTAATTAATTTTTACTTAGGAGTTAATTGTCTTTTTTTTTTAAGTTATGGACTTGTGTGAAACAACTGGAAAAGGATGAAAAACAAGTTCTCCGTTGGATGGAAAGTTTGGGGAACAAATTCTACATGTTGAAAATTGAAGGACTTGAATTGAACTAAAGAAAGACATTGATTGCACAATTAATTGGGCTCAAGGATTGAATTGTATGATTTTAAAATAATTGAGACTTGGAGAAAAATAAGGTATAAATGGGCCTCGGCATGACTTTTATTTGGGTTGAAATTGAATCGCATTGGAATACCCATGGGTAGGACTGTAAGCAAAAACTGCAAAACCGGAAAATCAAACCGAAACCGCATTTTAGAAACCCCCGGTTTGGTGTCACGTGGACCCGTCAACGAAATGGTTTTGAACCAAACCAAACCGGTCAAAAACAGTTTGGTTTAGGTTTGAGAATTTTAATTATGGTTTGAANAATCCTAATTTATATCTAATAATTTGAAGATTAACATAATATATACCACAACACCATCACAACCACCGCCAACACCACCACGACAAAAGCCACCACCACTCCAAAAACCAATAAACCCAACAAAAATACCTCAACACTGCACAGATTCACTGTCAAACACCACCGCCGCATAGAGCTACTGCCAAACACCATCCATCGCAGCATGCACACCCACCAAAACCACCACAACCACCGCACCAGAACGCCAGATCGACCACCATCACCACAACCTACCACCGCATAGCAACTGCCATCAACCACCTGTACCACCACCGCGCCACAACACATCACTGCATCGAAACCGCCAGATCCGCAAATGCCAGTACCACAACTACCAAATCAACTACCGCCATTCACCACCACAAACAAACTCGTCACCGCCACCACCTCCACCGCGTCGCCGCCAAGAGAGAAGAGAGGGAGGAGAAGTAGAGAGAGAAATGGTTTGGGGGAAAATGAGGGGGGGTGGATGGGGTAGGGTTGGTTTATAAATTAATTTAATTTAATTTAATAATATATTTATCTAATAATAATATTAATTAACAAAACATCTTATTTTTGAAATAGTAAACTTAAAATTTGATTTATGAAATGTGATCTTTAAAAGTAGGGTTCTGTATAATTTCCACTTTTAAATATTTTCGTAGCTAGTGTGGTTTGAAATGTCAACCTCTCACGTTAATTCTACACCTTTAATCACTCGACCAAACTATACTTATCTAATTATTTCTTCAAAGTAAAATAGATGATATATATCTAATATTAGGCACTGTAATTTTTCTCTTCGCTTGGATTCAATGTAGGAGTGACTTATGCTTCTCATGTTGAAAATTATAATCAACAAATGAAACTTGCTAAAGGCACTTAAACTTGGAACACTAATTTTTTAATGCATTTATCTAGTTGATTATTGTGCAACCCGAAACGAGTAAATTATCTTATGTTCCTTGGATCTTGTGCAACTTAAAAGATCCATATCTCCGGCGGCTTTCGATGAGTTAAATAATTTCTGTAGAGGAAAATGTAGAAATAATTTAAGTTCTTAGAATTTTTTTAATAACTAAACTGAACCAAACTTCAATACATCCACATAATATGAAAGAGATTAATTTTAATTTTGTTTTGGCGCCGTATCATAAATAATGAGCAAAGTGTCTTCAGCTTCAATAAGATTTGCTTTTCTAAATTATTGGACTGGACTTTCTTTGACCTCTTTCTTTTCTTGTTATCTGTACCAAGACCATTCTTTCTGTTGGAGTCAAGAGATTTTTTCCTCAATCAGGTTTTATAGCCAGCTTTTACTATGTCAATAACGTGTCTCCTTGGATCCTAAGAGAGGGATTTGATGACTCAATTATACCCTTCATTAGCTAGAAAATTTGCAGTTGAATTTCCCTTCCCGAAGATGTGTTAATCTTAGCTTTTAAGTTGAGAATCATTATCAATAAATAAATCTTGCCCAACTCACTTTTTTCTTGAAAATGCTCTTTTTCTCTTGATTCTTGTCCAATTGAGATGTATAAATCATGTTCATGGATTAACGAAAATGTACAAAAGTTCTGCAGCACAAAACTATCTTGTTGTACCAAAATAACACAGCTTGAATAATTTTTTTACTTTCATTAATATGTGAAAGTAACTCAATTAATCATAGGATACTATAGCACAAAATAAACTCACCCACTTATATTTACATTTACTTTTCAATTTTTTTTGGGGGGAGAATTGCAACTGGCTCCCCAACCATTCAAATTTTTGCGAACTATACCCGAGCATTTCTTTTTTATAGCCATAGTCCCTAATCTCTCATCTTGATAGTAGCTGGAGGACATATGGATGGAATTTGTCCATTTGACCGTTAGTCAATTGGAAAAATCATCTTGACAACATTTTGATTAACTTTAAAATGAAAATTTTATAATTTTATGTTTTCCCAATAAAAAAAAGTGAAAAAGTACAAAAAGACTTAGAACTACTCATCATCTTCCATAATCCATACCCACCCGCCCGCCCGCCCGGCCACTCACTCCATCCCATTGTCCGAATCATGATAGAGTCTTTTGAATCCTGATCTCCACATGATAATTTGTTCCTTGAGAGTCGAAAAATGTTCGAATCAACCCAAAATCCAAAATAGTTTAAACAAAAACCAAATTAAGAATTACAATAATTGAAATTAGGATTCCTAGGCTTTTTTTTTTTTTTGAAGAAAAAGGAATCTTATTAAGAGTCCTTCACTTGTGGCGGAAGAATACTGTGATACAAGTAAAGGGATAAATCATTTACATCTAATATTCAGAAGACTCCACGAGTCAGTCCTTAAAATACCCCTAAGGCCAAGAGGAACATAATCCCCTTTTTGGATGGTAAAAGAATTGCCAGTAGCCCCATTTTTTGCCAAGTAGTCAGCTGCCATATTTTCTTCCCTGTAGATATGTATTATCTTAGCCCGAGTGGTTTCAATCAAGGCGTAAATATCCTCTCATAAATCCCACAAATACCATAGAGTGCATCTTCCATCCTGTGCCCATTTTACCATCAGCATAGAATCTGATTCTACCACAAAATCCACCCATCCCTGTTCTTTGCACATAGCCAATCCATCCCTAAGTGTACAAGACTCGGCCAAGGTGTTTATTGCCACGCCATAGAAGTGAGCGAAACTAGCAATCAATCTATCGCTGATGTCCCGAATCAGTCTGCCTCCCCTTGCAGCACCTAGATTCCCATTTGATCCCCCGTCAACATTCAATTTCATTGTACCACTTCGAGGTCTCTTCCAACTCACCAGCTAAGGAACAACCACAGAAATAGGGGCAATTGGTACACTTAATTTATCCAGAATTTCCCTATCAAACACTTTTTTTTTGGGAACTTCTTAAAGGAGCTCGCAATTGTGATCAACATCGTCTTAATCTGTCTAATAACACATCTAGAAGAGATATTTACCTCCTCCATTCAGCCTGTACATCTAGCTCTCCATAAGTGCCAAGTGATAAGTAAAGGGATGATTCAACGTAACAGCCCACCAGTGTATCTTGTGATGCTTTTGTCTACCATGATACCATGTTACCTTGCCAACAACTAGTCTCCAAGAACGGAATAATGCAAGCTCATGCGAAATATCTCCACACCTCTTTAGTCAAATCACTTGTGCTTAAGACATGATCTGTCGCTTCATAAGATGGTTCCGTACAACAATTACATCTGGATGCCAAATTGACACCCAATGCTCGGATATTAATGTCAACAAGTAACTTAGATCTTAGAGCTCGCCAACTTAAAAAAAGAAATTTTCTTGGGCACCATTGGAGGCCAAAGCCATTTTTTCCATTGACATTTATCACCTCTAGCCCGAATGACTTCCCAAGCTGATTTAGAAGTGAAACGACCATCATTGGTTGGCTTCCAGACTAGAACATCTCTTCCAGGGCGAAGTACAATATTAGCACCAATGATTCGTTTAACACCATCATTATCAACACTATTTCGAAGCTTATCCATATCCTACCCTGTGTCCGATAGCAAGTCCTTAACTTGGAGTTTTTGGTCATTGTACTGATATTCTTCTGACAAAGGACCTGACCCTAACCAGTTGCCAAACCAGAAACTATCTTCTCCATTGCGTATAACCATTTTTGCATATTTTAACACCAATAGAGCAACGTGCAACAGGTACTTCTACAATCTAGTGCCATGGTTACTATGTAGGACAGTAGCAAGGTGATTATCCGCCAGATATTTTCTTCTGAAGAAATTAGCCCATTGGTTGCTCCCTTTTAATAATTTCCAGACAAATTTCATTAAAAGAGATGTTTGCACTTCCATGAGGTTTCGGAATCCTAGACCCCCTTCTTCCACTGGTAGACAAATATTTTTCCATGCAATCCATTTTCTTTTGCGGCTCCCAGGCGACGAGCCCCAAAGAAAATCCTGAAACATTCTATTTAGTTCCTTAAAAGTCCTTTTAGGAACTATCAAGACAGAGAGGATGTGGATGGGCATGCTATTAAGGACATGTTTGATGAGAGTAATTTTGCCTCCAAAAGATAACAGTTTACCTTTCCATCCGACCAATTTTTTCTGAATCTTTGCTAACATCGGTTCTAGCATATCCATAGTAAGTCTTCTGATGTGAAGATGCACCCCAGGTAGGTGCACTGCTACAAGCCGTCCCCGAAGCTTGATAGTTCCAACAAACCATTCCTCCTTATTTGCCTGAAGTGCTCGGAGAAAAATATCATAGATTTGGCTGAACTTACCAGTTGTCCCGAAATATTTTCATACGTATTCAGCACTTGCAATAAATTCCGAATTGATCTCTTGTCACCATTGGAGAAAATTAATATGTCATCCGCATATAAAAGATCTGAGACCATTATACCTCCTCCAATGTTACAAGGTTTTAACTTTCCCAAATCATAAGCGAGCTTAAGCAATCGAGAGATGACTTCCTCTGTTATAAAAAACAAATAAGGGGATAGAAGATCCCCTTGTCGTAGACCACGAGATACTTGAAAGAAACCTTTAGCGGACCCATTTAGAATAACAGAGAACAATGGGAAGGAAATACAATTAAAAATCAAGCTTCTCCATTGTTGGGAGAATCCAAACCGCTTCAGCACCTCCAAAAAGAAACCCCAATTCACTCTGTCATATGCCTTTCTCATATCAAGTTTTACAATAATGTTTCCACCCCTCACCTTTTTATTTAATGATGACGCCATTTCTTGAGCCATCGCCACATTTTCAAAAATACTTCTCCCAGGTATAAAGGCACTTTGTTCCTTGGAGATAAGAGACCTAAGAAGAGGAGACAAATGCATGACCAAAATTTTTGAGAGGATTTTGTAGGAAACTGAACATAAGCTGATGGGGTGAAATTATGCAAAACTTCCAGGATTATCCACTTTAGGGATCAAGACCAGATTTTTCGCTCCAAGCACGTAGTCAGTGGTCGTCCATTGAAGAATTCTAAAGCCATATCTAGCAAATCTGTCTTTACCACATAGCATGCAAATTTTAAAAAAAACTAGCTGTATATCCATCCATCCCGGAACAACTGTCCATAGATATTGACCAAAGTGCTGCATCATCCATGGTCGGTAGTCCATACAGCATTTTATTTTCTGCTTCCCCAATACATGGCTGAATGAGAATAAGAGCTTCATGGTCTCTTGTGGTTGGAGAGACCATAAGTAAATTTTGGAAAAAATGTACATCCTCTGTATGTATAGAATCCGCTGATGCAAGTATGCGGCCATCATCTAAAATCGTACTTTGAACAGATTTCTTGGAGGTTTTACTCCTTACACATGGGTGAAAAAATCTAGTGTTGGCATCACCCTCTTGCAACAATTTTATTCTCGCCTTTGGCACCATAAAACCTCCTTCCGTTGCACCCACTCGCTATGAAGCTTGTAGAGTTGATAAACTGAGCTTCCACTTCCTCTTAATATTCTTGTATAACTATATTTTCTAGCATCATCATTTGATTCTCCAGTTTGGTCATTTCTTGATCTACTCGACCAAACACTCTACATTCCATCCTTTAAGCACCTTTTTCAAAGCCATAAGTTTGTACCCCGCACGGACCATTGGACACCCAATGACATTCTTTTCCCAACATTGTTTAATAAGAGGTAGTAGCCCCTCATGCGAACACCACATGCGCTGAAATCTAAAAGCTATTGGGATATATTCATGAGCTCTATTATTCAACTTGATCACCATTGAGCAATGGTCAGATGATGAACGAGCCATATTGATTAGCTTTGATGAACTAAAACATTCTAAGAAAATGGGATTTACCAATACTCTATCTAGTCAAGCCCAAATTCTTCTTCTACCTACTCTTCCATTACACTACGTTAGGCGACTACCTTCAAAAGGTAAATGTACAAGACCACATTCCTAAATACATAGGTTAAATTCCTGCTTTGGATGTCTGTCAGAAAGTAGTCCTCCCACTTTTTCCTCATTCCCACAAACAACATTAAATCACCACCAATAAGTCATTGATGTGTATCACCTAACATATTTTGCATTTGCTCCCAAAGTTCTCTACGCTTGTTCCTGAAACAGCTAGCATACACAAATGTTACAAACATTCTTTTTCCTTCTTTACGAAAGAGGCCTGAAATAGCCTGATCAGATGCCACAAACAGATCAAAATGCAATTTTTTACTCCAAAAATAACTAGATTTTCCCACCTTCCAAAATAACTAGATTTTCACGCCTTCAATTATGAATTCGGTCTACTCGTACAAATGGTTCCATAAGAGCTACAACTTCTAGTTTAAATTTTTGATTTATCTACAAAAGATAACTTTTCGACGACACCACTCCTCTAATATTCCAAATTAGCACATTCATAGTTAATAAGGTTTTTAGGACCTAGTAATCTTAGGGAAGATTACCTTAATTGATTTTGGTTTGGTTCTCCTGCGCTTTGAAAATGAAACGTTGTTATCACCATCAGTCCGATATTGTTTTGGAGCCAGTTCCTCTAATTCATCACCATCTTCTTCTTCTGACAAAGCTTGAAAATTAACATTGTATAGGGAACCATATATCTGCTCTTCCTCCAAATCGTTATTAAAGCAACACAACTCATTTTCAAAACTAGCATCAATGATTTTTAGATTTTCTCATGGGGACAAAGCACCATCCTCCAACACTACTTCTGGTTCTTGTTGCTCAACGCTGGGGAGTCTGTCTGTCTGTTCAATATCAACATATGGCCGTGTAGATTTAGTTATGTCTATCATCCGTTCTAGATTTTCCAGTTGTACATGTTTATGCGAGCTACTTCCAGGCGCCTTTTGATCAAATTATTCCTTAGAAATTAATTCACCGACCATGTTACTATACCACACCATTTTTTCATCTTGGTTGGACATGACTTTTTTTCCTTTAATGATCTTAAGCCTTCGAACTCTAACTCTTTCCCTTTTCTTTTCATTGAGATCCAAATGGACAGGCTCCTCCAAAATTTTCTTTCCTTCAACTTTTCGCCAGACTTGCAGATTTCTACCCTTGTTATTATCAGTTTTTGCCTGTAAATTTTCACCTCTATTTTTATCAGCTTTTCCCAGTTCTTGTGTCCGTATTCCCCCCATTCTACTGTTTGAATTCACATGTCCTAGCCGATGATAGGAAGAGCAAAATAATGGCAAGTTCTCATAGATAATTTATTGGCAATGGCTATTCTTCCCTGGTGATGACCAATCCAAAAGGATTGCACTGGTGGTTTTGGTATATCCATTTTAACACAGAATCTGACTCCCTCCCGTCTTGTGACACAAGATGTGGCATTATCCCTTTTCAAAAAGATTTCCATGATCGAGGTGAAGCTTTGTAAGGTAGAAACTTGATAGAAGTTTGGTGGAAGGCCTGGTAAATGCACCCATTCCGGAACCTTTGATGAGTCCTCCACCTCATTGAAATTTGGAGTCCAATGAAATATGTTATAGGGGATGCCGTCTATTTCCTTACCCTCCCTTGTCATAGTCGTGATGAAATCTTCCTCACTGGTTAGTCGAACAAGCACATTCTTTGCGTTCATCAGTTGTCCCACAGCAGGCATGAATTTTAATTCCCAGCAATTTTTAATGAAGCCTCGAATAATATCCAGCGAAGGATGTCTGTGTAGGAATTTCAGCACCACTGAAAGTCTGAATGGTTCGGTGGTTTTCACAATTTCCTCTTCTGTGAAGATAAAACAATACTCTCCATGTACCAGTCTCGATTCCTTCTTTGGTATTTTCACTTATGGCAGTGGTTGTGGCCGATCTACAACCATATCACCAAGACTGCCGCCTGGTGGTGGTGGCGCGCTAGGGTTAGGCAGCATGTAAAAACTCTCAGTTAGGGCTTTTTGGGAGATAGAGAGAGAATTTTTTCTTTTGTCACATTCATTTAAACATATACGTTGTTATTGTATTGATGAGATTAAAATTTGTAGTACTGGATTTGGAATGGATTCTTAGGCAAATGAGTACCTAATTAGAAAATTTCAATTCTTATAAGTTTAAAGAATTTATTAAGTCAGTTCTTTGAAGTTGAGGAGCTCGAATTCAAAAATGTATTGAATCTTTGTTCTGGATTATTGATTTACCATTTTATGATTATATGTGAGTTTTTATATGTAATGAGCAATACTATGTAAAAAGAGGATGAAATTTGAATAAAAATGTGATTTTGTCAGATTGAACTAGTTTACATCTTCTATTATTACTCTTTCTCAGTGAAGGGAGTGGTTTGTGACAACAACGATCACGCTGGTGTGGTGAAATGGATTTTGGATTGGTATAGTGTTGAGGGTGGGGGTGGGGTGGGGAAGAAATGAACGTCCTCAATTTTTTTTTTATTTCAAATTTTAATTTATTTATTGGAGAAATAAAAATTATAATCTTTTCCTTTTAAAATTAATCAAAATGTGGTTAAATTGATTTTTTTGGGCTGACTAATGATCAAATGGATGGATTCCATCCATATGTCCTCCAGCTGCAATCGAGATGAAATTTCTGGGACTATGAGCATAAAAATGAAGGATTTGGGTATAGTTTGCAATAATGAAAGGTTTGGGAACCCAATACCATTTATTCTATATATATATATATACACACACATACATAGCAGAACATCATTTGCCTACCTCAACAATTTATTAAAAAAATAAAACCAAGTACAAATGTTCATGTTCACAATTATTAACCATAGACTAAGTGAATTGAGCAAAGATCAGAAACGAGCCAATTATAACCTGCTAGCAAAAACATTTATAGAATGATCCCGATTTAAATGGGTTTAGGAGTGGAAACTTATGGACCGAAAATTGAATCAACCACATTTTCACTCGAGCTTTGCCTGGACTTTGCTCGAGCAGGAGAAACAAAAAGATCGTTGCTCATTCCATGTTCCCTTGAGTGACAGTAACAGAAAGACCGTCTCTCACCTTTTGTTCGACACTCGCTTCGAGCAAAGCAGTCTCGCTTGCTCTTTGCTCAAAGTCGCTCACGCGACGGTATTTTTCGGGATTTTCGTGTTTGTCGCCTTTTGGACTCATATTTCATCTACAACTTTTTTTAGGGTTTTGTATATATAGGCATGACTTGTATTGATGAAAAACATATAGAAATATACTGATTAACATCTTTAGAGCCATAGATCCTTGCATTGAGATCTTGTAAACATAATTCGTATTGATTATATTGAATTAACTTCCTCTACCTGTGGTTTTTCCCTATCTTGGGTTTCCACGTAAAATCTTGGTGTTCTTATTTTGATTTATTATTTCATTATTGCCATATCATCCGATTTGATTTCATAACAAGTGGTATCAGAGCAAAGGTCAATTGTTCCACATGGTGACAATGAAATATAATATTCCATTGTTGGATAGAAACACAAGATTTACATTATGGAAAATACAGATGTGAGCAGTTCTCACGCAGATGGATTTGGAGGAAGCTTTGTCTGGGTTTGACAAGATGCCTTCAACCTGGACACAGGAAGAAAAGCAGTGTAGGGATCGAAAAGCCCCAATCCCAAAGTCATCTACATCTTTCAAATCAGATTCTTTAAGATGTTCTTAAGGAGAAAAATGTCGCTGCGTTGTGGTTAAAGTTGGAATAACTTTGCATGACAAAGAGCTTGACCAGCAAGTTACACTTGAAACATCGCATATATTCTCACTGGATGTCAGAAGGTGCGCCATTGGATGATCACTTAACTATGTTCAAGGAAATCGTGGCTGATTTGGAGACATTAGAGGTTAAGTATGATGAGAAGAACTTTGCGTTGATGTTGTTGTGTTGACTGCCAACATCATATGTGACTTCTAGAGATACTATTCTATATTGTCGAGATACTCTCACTATGAAAGAGGTCTATGATGCCTTATTATCCAAGGAGAACCTGAGGTATCTTGTTAGAGGATCCGAAAATCATGCTGAAGGCTTGGTTGTGAGTAGGAGAAACCAAGATAGGAATCTTGGCAGAAATATGAGGGGCAGATTGAACTCTAGACATGCTGAGAAGACATGTAACTATTGTAAGAAGAAGGGGCATATATGGACTGATTATTATTCTTTGAAAATAAGAATAAGGCTACTGGTACTATTGAGAAAGGGAAACAACCTATTAATTCAGTAGAGGCTGATGTTGTGGAAGATGAGCAAAGTGGAAGAGAGCTTCTTGTGATCTCTGACATGGATTCCAAACATTGTGAGGAATATGTTCTTGATTCGGTTTATACCTTTCATACGTGTCTCAACAGGGTCTAGTTTTCAACATATGAAGAAATTTTGAGAGCTACTGTGATTATGGGAAATAATACACCTTGCAAGATTGTCAGAGTTAACTCAAAGGGTTTCAAATACACTGGAGAAGATAGAGTTTTGATGTTTTCATGAAGGGACTTAAAAACTCTTTAATAGGTGTACAGTTTGCATGGCTCCAGAGTAACTAGGGATGCATCAGTTTCACTTCTTCTTTGACAGATGATGAAGTTAAAAAACTTTGACATATGCGGTTCAGGCATATGAGTGAGAATGGAACGACGGAGTTAAGTAAAAGGAGATTTCTTGATGGGTAGAAGACTAGCAAAATTGATTGTTGTGAGCATTATGTCTTCGAAAAATAGAAGAAAGTCAGATTCCTTAAAGAAAAATACAACACGAAGAGAACACTTGAATACATTCATTCTGATCTTTGGGGACCAGCTAACGTTCCATCTACGATAATGCTGCTCTTCCTAGGATTAAATCTCGGGTTTGAATCCAGGGCACCAAACGGTGCTCTGGATGGAACCCGAGATTTGATCTCGAGATCCCTAGCATGGCTGTTCCATCTAAAGGAGGCTGCTATTACTTGTTGACAGTGATTGATGATTACCTTAGAAAAGTTTGGATATTTTCTTGAAGTAGAAGAGTGATGTGTTTGGGACCTTCAATGAGTGGAAAACAATGATAGAAAAGTAGTCTGTAAAGTAGATTAAATGTCTACTCAGATTAAATATCTATTCACTGATAACGGGTTGGAGTTTTGTTCAAATGAGTTTAACAGCTTCCGCAGGGCTGAAGATATCTTGAGATGTCATTTACAAACAAGGGTATTCAAGCCCCCTATTGATGTGCCTACATGAGGAGGAAACGCTCTATGCTCTGAGAGAGGTTCACGAAGGAACTTGCAAAAATCATTCTGGAGGCCAATCATTGGCCCACAAAATTATAAGACAAGGGTACTCTTGGTCCATAATGAAACAGGATGTGCTTACATTCGTAAGAAAATGCGACAAGTGCTAACACTTCGCTCCCATTATCAAGGCACCACCACGAGAGCTAAATTTTGTGGTTGCTCCCTGGCCTTTCTGAAGTGGTGGTAGACCTGATTGGTCCATGCCTACGGGGAAGGGAGGAACTAAATTTGCCATTATCACAGTCGATTACTTCACCAAATGGGCTAAGCAAAACCATTGATGTGAACCCCGTAGCAACGGTGACTACGAAACCTACAACTAGATTGATGCGGCACCCAAGAGCACCAATTAAACCTGATTTTGGATTTGAACCTAACAAGGTGAACCAAAAAAAACCAACGATAACGACGATGCGTTGAACCCCTTGATTACACAATAAAGAACCCACGATCTGATTTGTGAACACCACAAGAATCATTTAAATCTTGATAAGTTCGACATGTCCATGGAAGAACACAATTTTTGAAGCAAAGCTTCGAGAGAAAATTCTCTTTAATTTAATTCATGTCAAACTTAGCATCCAATGAAATAATAAAATTCCTATTTATACTAAACCTAGGAAATATAGGAAAAAATTGAATAATTGATAAAGATTACAATAATATTACCTAAACTAGAATTCTAGCTAAAATATTCTTAAAAAAAAAAATTCTAACAAAAATAAGGAAATTCGAGTCAAAACAGTTTTCCCGAATCCAGACAGCTTTCAATATTTCGGTCATATCTTCCTCTCTTAATATCCGATTGAGGTAATTAAAAATGATTTAGAAAGCTTACTTCAAGGCTAGAAATCATCTAGAAATAAAAGTCTTCAAATTCGAATGTATTCTATGCCAAAAATGGGTCTCAAACTGAGAC